TCCTGATAGGAAGCAGCGATGACGCCAGAGATAAACGTATTCATTATAAAAATTCTAATAAAACTGCCATTTTAGGGTTGCATTTAGACTTTTAGCCGCGTATATTTATACCTTGCATCAGTTGCATGGGCAAACAGAAAAATGGCAAAGAGCATTCTTTGTTAATCGGAAAAGCCGAGATTATCGCTTTAGGGTGTTAAAATCAATAAGTCACATGCTTGTTTTTGGCCGGCATAACGACTGCATACAAGAAAGAGCGAGCGAACAATGTCGTTCGAAACGTCCAGAAATGTTTTGCGTATGAAGTTAATTAATCACTTGCCATCCCACTTTCAAGAAAGAGCGAGCGAACAATGTCGTTCGAAACGTCCAGAAATGTTTTGCGTATGAAGTTAATTAATCACTTGCCATCCCACTTTCAGTTTAGAAAGTAATTGGAAGACGCTGCTATACGCTACTCCCTGGTTCATTAAATTGGAACGTACCCAAAATCTTGTAGGGAATTTTAAACAATCGGCCCTTGGTGTCACAAGACTTCTTTCAATACCTCAAAGTCCAGCATCTCAATCGTCTAAATCTTTGTCTTAATCTTATGTAAGCCGAATCATGTGAACAGCCCCTTAGGCTTACTCGCAACGAACTTCATTCACATATTTCAGAAATCGACTTCTTTCAATGAGACACTTGCAATTTTTGCTACGATTTCAATATGTGTGATTTTCTTCTTTTGATAGATATGAACGAGTGAATTAGTTACCGATGTTCAAATAGGAGCTCGTACACATCCCAGCATTCGTAACTTATTACTCGTTCACATCTATCAAAAGAAGAAAATCGCAATAAAATCGCCAGTGTAAACAGGCCTTCACAAGTAAGTAATTAGTTACGCCTCAACCCTTATCACTTTAGTATATCTTTAACGTACTTGATAATACTACTCAAGCAAGGCCGTGAACTAGCAGAAAATTCGGGATTCTTTCGTGAACTGAAAAATATAGATAATGAGATTATATAATCGCATCAAGGCCATTTTTTGTGTTCTTCTGACAGGTTTTTATCATCTTGTTATATTGACTATGTTTTCATTTATCATCTTTGCGATGGATTGGATGGGAGGTTCCGGAGGAGGGGTTGTGGGGAGTGCTTGGGGAGAGGGGCTTTGATCTAAGGCTCTGAATCGTCGTTAACACTACAAGTTTTAGGGCGCTTTCCTTTACTACGGAAAAAACGGCCAGACCGGTCCTGTTGTATTTCGATACAGACAGATTACTGCAATTTTAGAGCATTTCAAGAACTCTCTGCATTCAAGTATAGCGTTATTTACACCTAACCTGCACGGGAAATGCTGTTTCACCGCTATATTCTTAACAAAATACTGCCCTGATTTTGGCCGCTTAATGGAAAGCGCGCCCTTAGTTGGAATCTATAGCCGCCAGTATTCTAAAACCTCACTCACACTTACACTCGAGTGGAATATATTGATCTTGTCGAGTTTGTTGTTCAAGTTTCCATGGCGGTATTTCACCTGATCTGAGCCTGATTCACCCTTGTTTTACCCAGAATTACTTCACTGCTATCATAGCATTTTCACCTTGGTCAGTAATAACGAAAATTCTATGTCACGCTCAAAAAGTGTGCATGAGGGTGAGGCAGCTTTCAAAGTTCAATCCAATATTCGGAAAAGCTGAGCAGTCTCAGGTAAAGTTCAGTGAAAGCTTTCAATAATCAATGATCAGCAGCCAACAGCCACAGCTAATTTGAGACATTCTGTTTGACACTCGATTTGACTTGTAAATTGTATATAATGAATTTTTCCGCTCGCGTATTCAAATCTTTTCACCTGCCTCAGAAACGAAAACAAATTTTTGGAGATTGTGTGTGACTGAATTTTAGTGCGAACCTTGTGAGAACTGAATCAATCGTGAGAATCTTGCGAAAATTTTAACCTTCCATTTGAAAAATTTGCCTCGCCTCTGGCCTCTCCCCCCCTCCACCGTTGACGTTCAAGGTGCCTCTTCCCTGTGGCCGATCTATTGTCGTTAATGTTATCAAAAATCGTGGGCTCCAAGATTTTAATATTTAATACTACTTACATCTAGGCAAACAACAATGACGGTGAAAAAAATTGTATAGTTTGACTAAAAACTTTCCCTTCTCGGTATTCCTAACACGGGGCCAGTTGTATAATACAACCTGCCACATATCTCTATATCCATTAACTCCGTTCATTATATTTCTGCAACGTAAATTAATTGGAAAGCTTGTGCTTTGTAGTAAATTATTAAGTATAGTTACTGACAGAAATGCCAATCAAAGTCGTGCATTAAACTACGATTTAACTGCCTAAAATGTAGTTGATAAAGAGTTTTCATAACCTGTCCCATGTCTACAATGTGTATATCTGTATTCATTATGTATTTTGGTTTGCATTTAAACCATCCATTCTCCAGATCTCGCGCTCCAGTACCTTCGCGACGAGTCCGGATTTTGCATTGCGTCATTCGGCCGGCCATCTGCCGTTCATCAATCAATGAGCTGCTGATTCACAAACCGATGCAGCCAATCAGCGCACTCGTTGTAATCCGTAATGACCAGCTCATGAATTGTAGCGCTAATTAATTACATGCTGTTACGATATAGGAAGTTGATTGAACTTGCAGATCAGACTAAGTAATATATTTGTTATTAGCCTTTTAAAAAAGATTCAACTGAAATATAAGAACTTCACAACACAAAACACCAAGTGTATTCCATGCGTACTAATTACTCTCATATTTTTTTAAATTAAAAAATCCAAGCTGGATAGCTAAGATTTTGCGGAGTTTCTTTTTGTGTCGCCAGTGAATATTTAATTAGGTAATTTGTTTTGACCAAGAATAAAGAATTGAATGTGAAAAAGACATATGTTTTAAAAATTTAACGTTCATTTCACATATGAAGTCGCCTACAAAGTTTCAAGGGATGTTTTGGAAGTATAAATTAAAGATGATTGCTTCGAAATCTTTCCACGATAAGTTAAATGATATAGATAGTCTTCAACTGATTTCTTAGCCCGGCAAATGTCATAGTACAGTCAGGCAAAGCATCACTGTATGCTACCACAAATGATTTATAGGCCTACATAGAACTCGCTTGTCAGTCCAGGATTATTTCATTGGACTGTTACTTTGTTAGTCTTTTTGAAATGAATCACTGTAAATTTTTTTCTGCGCGTGTCCTAATGTCAATTGTGTGTGGGGGAGGGGTGGGGGGCAAACAATACGCTAGGAAATCTTCTTGTTTTGACGATGTCTACATTTGATATCAGTTATTCAATTTTTGAGACAAAAGGCATGCCGAACCATGGAATTATTTCCAGACCATTGGTCCTGATGGTGATTATGGAATATTATTATATTTCTGGAATATTATTCAGTTTGTTTGGCTTATTTTCCGAAAAGAAATCAATTGACGGCTCAGTGGATGCCGTCAACACAACTCGCCACTTTTTATTTGCCGTATAAGGGCGTCTCCCTTTATGCGACCAAAATGGCTGAATTGAAATAGAGTATTCCGTTAAAAATATAGGAAATATAGGAATAGCAGGAAACCGCATTTCCTGTACCAGGCAGATGTAAATTACGATATACGTCAATGCAAAGTTCTTGAAACACTCTAAAAAATCAGTAACTGTCTGTACTAAAATGCAACAGGACCGGTCTGATCGTTTTTACCGTATAAAGGAAACGTCCATATGCCCGAACGATGAGGAAGTTTTCATCTTTTTTTTTCGTAATCAAACGAAACCGGCAAAATTATGCACGGCTAAAGTGATCAATAGCGATAGTATCGCCTTAAAGCCCTTAATAACAAGAACCACATACTGAGGGAGTGATTTTTTAGGCCAATAGCTCCTGCGTGATTTCTCGAGCCGATTTTTGCACATTTTGAGGAAAAAAATTTAAAAAATTGTTAAAGACAGTTCACAGCCGCTTCTGCGCATCGGTTCTGCTCATAACATTGGAGGACGCCATGTTTAGAAATTGCCCATATTTTGTATGTTTTCCCGTTTTTTTGAGCATAAACTATTTCTTATTCGTTTAGAAATATTGTGAACTAAAATTGTAATATATATTCTGACAGGACAGGATATTTCAAGAGATATAGTGATGTAAACTAGCTGCGTTTGTTTACATTACAAACTGTAAATAAAACTACCTTTGGCTTTGAGCAAAATCTAGTTCAATGTATTTCCAAACGATAACTTTTGCATAATGCTGAATATGAATCCAAATTGACTCGAAATATACATTTTCAATTAAAAAATTTGATGTATTTTAATTATTATGCACTCTTTATTCACAAAAAACTTTTGTATGACCATAGGCGTAGAGTATGGGGGGGCTGAGGGGCTGGAGCCCCCGGAGAAATCTTACAAGGGGGGCTCAGCCCCCCTAGAAATTTTCCAGAAAGTAATATTTGCATCAGAGCAATGTTGAATCTTTGAAAAGGCATCCTTACATACACATGAAACAGTATTATCATAGTGAATATAATAATATATCAAACAACTCGGAAAAGCAATTGCAAAATACAGAATTTTCGAGTTATAAAATCATAAAATACATGGCAGCTTGTTCATTTTATCTTTCATTAGTTTTTCTACCCACAACAGGTCATAATCATTGGTAAATATTTTCTCCGCCTGTCGGCCATATAAACCATGACTACCGATGCAACTATATATCAAGAGGAAATTTATTGTAAATTTAACTGTATCTAATGTCAGAAGGTGTTGCTAGCTAGATATCATGTATCTAAAATTTGAGCCCCCCCAGAGGCTCAAAATAAAACTCTACACCTATGTGTATGACAATTTTATTCTGTACCAGATTCATATTTTTATTCATTATTTCGTAACTAAATTTCTAAATTTACTGATTTTGAAATGCTCATTCCAGCTGTAAAGACCAGTGACGAATTTTCCTAATTTTGAATTTATGTGAAAGGGAAATTAATATAATAATCTCTTCAATGACAAAAATAGTTTGTTTATTTGTCGACTGGCTATCAAGATCAACCCTTATATTCTCCCAAAATGAAGTATTTCCGTTTTGCCGCCTAATGTGCACATCAATTATGGGCTCATCAATTCAAATTTTCCTTTTCTGCGCTGTGATTGGTTAACAAGGTGTTCGATTGTTTCTAAAAGGACGCTGAGAAATCCTTGAAGAAGCCATTATTAGTGCAAGCAACTGTTTGGATAAGAGTTTCTATATATTTTCATTTAAATCATCAACATGTCAGCCCGTGGAGGTAAAGCAGCGAAGCGCATGAGAAGCACTCGCTCTCAGAAGGCTGGCCTGATCTTTCCTGTGAGTAGAGTGCATAGATTTTTGAGAAAAACCACGCACCATTATCGCATAGCTTCGGGCGCTCCAGTGTATCAAGCGGCCGTGATGGAATATCTCACGGCAGAGATTCTCGAGTTGGCCGGTAATGCCGCAAGAGACAACAAGAGATCAAGAATTATACCCCGACACACCTACTGGCAATCGCGAACGACGACGAACTTCACAAGGTATGTTTTGACCACCATGTGCTTGAAGTCCTTCGACCTTCTCTTTGACTATTTCGTTTGCCTTTGTTTCGCTTTAGTCCTTATTTAGAAATATTTTAACCTTTGTAATAATCAAATATCCCGATTCATCAAAAACCGTCCCACTTCGGATGTATTTGCAGCGATTTTGACCCTATATAAAGCGATCTGGAAAATGCCTGGTCAAAACCTTTGTTGCAGCTGCTTTGAAAAATAATCACTGTTGGTGTTCCCGCGCAAAATTTTGAACGTGGCGTGGTCGGACCCAACACTTGGCCATTGGTATTTAGGAGAGACAATCAATAGACCACAGTCTCCTTTTGTTAGGAAAAGTTTATATTAAGTTAAATTTTTGGGCTCTAGTGTATTCATTGCAAGTTATTTTCTAAAATATCAAAATTTTAGGTGAGGTTTTTCTATCAACAGGAAGTAAATTATTGCCCCATATATAATTACTTGGCTGTTGTAGATTATCGATGATAGAGTGAGCTTCAGTTCTTATAGGCCCAGCTATCGACACTGATTCAAGTTGCAAAATTGTTGCAAAGATTCAGCAAACTTAAGTTAGGCAGAAAAAGTTTAACCGATGAAAATATTTTAGTTTAATTTACACAATTCTAAGAGCACTTACCTGTATATAATAGTGATTATAGTATATTAGTTCATCTAGACTGAGCTGATTTAGGGTAAAAAGAGATGGATTTTACACAATTCCTAGAGCCCTTATCTGGGCTGTGCTGGTTTAAGATCAAAACACATGAATATAGGTCTCAGAGAACCATGTACTGACATTTTGTGGGCAATTTGTATTTAAAATGTACAATAAAAGTAGGGAGTGATGGCATAATATTCAGTGCAGGAAGCCTTTGTAGTTGACAAAATATTCACCACTCTTTTCCAACTCAAAAAGATCAATCTTTGTTGCAGCTTCTGAAAGGTGTGACCATTGCATCTGGTGGTGTTTTACCAAAAATTCACCCAGAACTCTTGAAGAAAAGAAAGGGTGGCAAGTTGTATACTCCGGAAGAACTGAAGGCAAAGATAAAAAAGAAGGAATCAAAATCAACTCCCAAGAAGGCAGCCACACCAAAAAAGCCTGTGAAAAAAGAGGCATCAACTCCAAAGAAGAGTGGCAAAGCAGCAAAAAAAGATGCCAGCAATGATTTAGGACCAGGATTCACATTGCTGTCTGAGAAAACATTGTTCTTAGGACAGTCTCTGTGTGTAGTGCAAGGAAATATTGCAGAGATTGATGTTGATGCTATTGTTCATCCAAGCAATGCAAAGTTAAATCTGGCAGGAGAAGTTGGTAAGCGAATGCAGTAATTATTTCTATTGAAATCATAGAAGCCTTTTAATAATAACACAGGTTGGAATTGCACAAAGTCTGATTAGTTTAACTTATTAAATAGCATTATACTGACATTATACTTGATATTAACTTTAGGTAATGCACTGAAAAAGGCTGGTGGTGAGGCTTTTGAAGAAGAAGTGAAAAATTTGGCAAAAGATAAGAGTCCCTTGGAAGTTGCTGATGGTAAGCACAATTATTAGTTTAGATTGGACATTATGGGGAAATATTTGTGTTCCCTGCTACACAAATTAGCCAAGAAACCTTAAAAAATTTAGGAGCCTTAAAAGCTAGTTTTGGCAGAAGGTGTGATGGCATGTATTACTCTTGTAAAGATTATTTTTAACAAGAATTTTCTTGTTATTTTAGCTGCCATTTGCCAAGGACATGGTTTTCCTGCCAAATTTGTCATTCATATAAACAGTCCAACTGCTTCCCAGAAGGATGCCCTGGCGAAGATTGAAGAAGCTGTGAAGAACGTTCTCACTCTTGCCGATGAGAAAAATTTGAAAAGTATTGCTCTGCCATCAATTGGAAGTGGAGCGTAAGTAGATTTTTTTACATCACATTGAAGAATTAGTCTTAGATATGTTATTGTTTGATAAATTTTTTGTTGGTTAAATTCAATGCATTCACTCAAACCAAAATGCCATTAGTTTACATTTGGCCTTCTTGTATCATTACATAAAGAGCTTAAATATAAAGGAATATTTGGGTTTTCAAACCTTGTATTCATTGTGTAAGCTTGTTTAAAAAGGTACTTTGTATATTTACAAAACCGAAACCGGCAAAATTAAAAGCTAAGTATAAGTTTTTAATATGATATTTAATTGCTTTTAAATTTATAGCATAAAAGCCTATAGCATAATTACAAAATTTAAACTAGTTTAACAAAGGATTATGAATGACAATAGGTTACAAATAAATAAAGCGTAGACTGTGGATTTGATTTTAGTCCAGGTCATCTTAACCACATGTGAGATCAGCTGGAATATCTTGCGTAAATTGCATAAAGATATTTGTGCATACATGGCAGGGATTTTCCTCTGTTAACAACAAAACATTGGTTGTTGATTATGTGTATCTGGTTTTGGATTCTTCTTCCTCCTTGGAACAAGAACTTGACAATTCATCGCCAGCAACACAGTCACCCCTTACCTCGCTTTCTCCCTTGCAGAAAACCTGACTTGAAAGCAACCATTGTGCAAACAACCTTGAAGACGATCTCCGATTACTTTGTCACTGTAATGGCCTCCTCTTTAAGACAGATCAAATTTGTCATGACCAAAATGGAAGATATTGGAACATACACCACAGAAATGGCCAAACTTGATGCTTGATTTAGCAAACTTGTGTACAGTCTATATACTACATTATTATTATTATGTCTTAGTTTTTACCCTAATCACTGTAATTTTTAGAAATGGTGAACTCTATTGCTTCTTATTGACAATAGGCATTATATGATATTCCTCTGAGAATAATAGCTGATAAAGGTTTTATCTTTAACATTTTTTTGTAGAGGTTGACATTCTGTATACTTAGCCTACATTTTTATTCACTTTGAAGAGAAGAGATCTGTGTAATGCCAAAATCTTATTTTGCAGTTTGTGTATATAGCATTAAGTCATTTTTTCACTTTATTATTCAGAAGTAATTTTAAATCAAGTTTAACACATGCTGATCTGGTGATTCTGTAGAATGCCTGAAATTTCATTCAGCAAAAACCTTGACTATTTTATTAGCGGATCCCCAAATAAAATGTTCTGCCCTTAAAAGATTAATTAATTACAGCTGACCTTTCTCAACTGGCACTGGTAATAATTCCATGTCCAGTAAATCCTCAATCCGGGATTAGGATTAGAGTTAGGATTCAGTTTTTATGTTGATTAGGATTAACCCTACCTAATCTTAAATCTAATCCAAAGTTAGTCTCAAAGAAAAAAAATGGTTTATTTCTAATAACTAGGCATGGAATTTTTACCAAAAACGGATGCTTAAAGTTTAATCCAGGTATTATTAATATCGGGTTTTTTCTTCGCAAAATCTAAAAACTACAATATCTGAAAACGTAGCAGACAGTTATAGTTTTGTCAACGTTTTCTTTCAGGAATAAACTTCCAAAGCAAGCCACTGCAGAGGTGATCCTTCGAGCTATTTCCGACTATTTCGTCTCTGTCATGGCTACCTCGTTAAAAGTTGTCTATTTTGTCCTTTACGACAACGAGAGTATTGCTGTTTACACATCTGAGTTGGCCAGACTGGATGCATGAAGCATAAAAAACGTAACATTCGTCTTTTAACAATTAATTTGATGTCATATAAACCATAAATATTTGAATTATTGTATTACATCAAAGTGATATGATAGAGAAATCCGCCGATATAAACTGAACCGTGAGTATGAATTGTAGATTTCTTGATAATTTTAGTTGAAGAAAAATAGTCTATCGTAAATATTGTGATATTTAACACAAAATTCAGTGTAGCAAACTCGGTATAATGAAATTTATTCATCAATACAGTCCTCAGTTTGTTTCAATCTCTACTCGCTAGCATTTTATAAGAAGAATTATTGAAAAAAATCGTGGAAAGCAAGAATACAAAACAATGGAAAATTTAAAACAGTGCAAAGTTTTACAAAAGTGGAAGCATAACTTGAATATTTTGGCGGGAAAGAATTGCGGGAAAATCGTTGTTTTAAATCCTCTTCAAGATGGCGGAACAAAATTTTGAAAATCTTTTATCACGTAGTGGACGACAAGTGTTCTTGGGCGACTTGGAAAGACGTCGGCCAACGTATGTACATATTTTTCTCTTCTTTCAGCTTAGATTTATTCAGATCGCAAATAAAGTAACTATGTTACCTCATATATTAATAATATATATTTTCATAAATACTAATTAGTAAAGTTTGTCTCAGACATATTAATTAAATGGGGGAGAAAAGCCTTGGTTCAGAGCGAATAGATAATGATTGTTCAGAGCCAAGGCTTTTTACCCTGGCTAACGTTTGCCAATTATACTTTAAGTTGATTTCAATCATTTTATGTACATTGTTGCAAGCCGATAACTTTCTGTAGGGGCCAATTATTCTTAAAGGATGAGTCTCAGCTGTCTGAGTTTGTGATGCTAAGTTTACGGTTTCATCAATTTACAGGCACCCGGACATGGTGATAGATACTTTCCCGTAATGGTGATAGATACTTACTAACTGTAAACACAAAGTATGACGGTTGAGGCTCATTCTTTAAGGTACTCTGATCAGTCTGATGCTGACATTACCTAAATTTCAGATTTATTTAATGCTACAGAATCCTACCCCTAAATCACAGACTGCCATAAAGATGCATTTTATTAAAAAATATACATCAAATTAAACTATAAGGTATAAACAGCATCCACTTATGCCTCACAAAGTATGTGTCTCCAATTTTTGTATAATTAACAATCATACCATGAGCTTGAGTCGTATATGAGCTGATAGGTGCACTGAGTCAGCTATGGTAACACCGAGTCAGCTATCAGCCATTTACAAAGAGAGCGAGGGGTACAATTGTTTTATAATAGCGAGCGACAAAAGTATTTATTAACAATTTAATACATATTTACATATTCTTAATTTACCTCAGCAAACTATTCAGCCATTTTGCTTTTTTTGGCTTTGCTACCCACTTATATGAGCTGGTATACGGTGGGTAGCTCAACCAATCAGATTGCAGAATAGCTTGTATACAATGAGTATTGAGATATACTTTGTATAACCATCGTATGGTTGCCGTAGTAATGGTAGAGAAGCCAATGCAGGCAGTGTATTGGCCAGAAAGTTAATTAACATGTCAATCATGGACCAAAATAATGGTGGACATGTAATATGATTTGCTTTGGGAAAAAGATACAATGTTCCAACATAGATTTTTAAGCGCAGTTTTCCATCACATCTGTATGCTCAACTTTTGCAAGCAAATTATGCTTTGTTTTGCATGCCTGCACTAGCAGCTTTGGTGGAGGCAGCTTTGCCTAAAGCAAACATGAAATAAATGTGCCTTTTTTTGACCAAGTGTGTCAGTGGATGTTAGCTTTGAACTGATATTATTGTTAGTCAGATTATGTAATTTTATGCATATCCATCAATAGTGATTCCTATTTTGACCTAAAGAGGGATTGAAAGTGTGCTTACAAAAGCTATCAAAAGTTTTTAAAAGATGGTAAAATATTTTGCAAATTTGTTTTGTGATTGTGTTACTGATGTAAAGCAGCCTCATACCGAGGCGCTTAAAATTCATCATTCAACCAATTGGTACAATATTTTTGTGACAGTCCAGCAAGCTTTGAGATGAGAAAGTCAAAGTCTATATCACCTTTTTATTGCTAATAAACAAACTCCAGGATTTGCTGATGGTTATTATGAAACATTTGCAATGCGAGCATGTGAACTAATAAGTGTTTGGTGAGACGCCCAATGATCGAGACTACTAATTTTACAAACTATTTTCCCCAGAGATTAAAAAATGTTATCAAACAACGAGAAAAATTTATTTGGAAACTTTTAGCAACATTTCAACAACATAAAAATAGTCTACATAGTATGTGTAATCTTGTTTTAAGTTGTATATAAAAATCGAAGGTAAGGACTAATTTTACAAACGTTTTATACATCTCGTTTGACTTGAATATTTACGAAGTTTTTATTTTATGTAAACTACTGAAATTAGCATTCAGATATAAGTTGCTGGCGCTTACATGATTATTCCGGCTAACTGCTAAAAACTATGTGTCAGACGTTTTTTCAGTAATAATATTAATATAAACAGTGAATGAAGGAAGGAGTTACGACTTAACAAGATGCTCCTTGCCATACAGCACATTGAATGAGTGCACAGATTGCGATCAAAATCAGTGACAAGTTGGTGTGTATCGCTTGAACCTACAATGGTCGAGGTCGAACATTCAATCTTGATCTCATCCAGCAAAGGCTTTGCTACATTTCCCAATATTCGCCAAGAACGTCCTTGAAAAGTGGGTAGTACTGCTTCAGGTGTGCGATGCTTGAACAGGTTGGATATGGAACAGTTGCGATCTTCAGTGTATCATTGTATTCACCGGAGAGAAATACGTAATAATTCTAAACACCTTTATTCCTATTCTGTCTGCAAAAGCTCTTTTGTTTTGTTTTTGATAAATGACGGTAGCTCGTTACTTTCTGCTTCGTATCCTTTCGCGAGTAGTTTCCAGTAGCGGAATATATTCCAGGCGTCTCCTTGGTACCAATCCTTCCACTGATCACGTGGAACTGGGATTCTGATCAGCTTGTTGCACGTGTCATTCACACCAGACGCGGTAAAGTCTATCACTACGCCTCTGTTAGCGACAGCGTCGTCGTAGTAGGCCAGCGAATTCGTAGTGTACTCCAGGTTGGTAAGGTTGCCGAAGAAAGAGTTGTTCCAGTTGGCCAAATCAATGTCCTCCCCATCTCCTTCTTTATCACCGATATGAACGATCTTCAATTTTGCCCACTCTGGTGGACCTTTGCAGTATTTGTCTTCCCAATGTTTCTTACAAATCTCAACGATTTTGTTTGCGTCACAAGGGCTGTCGGCGTCGATGTCGAGAGTTTTCCTGCCGAGGAACTGGTCACGAACTGATCCACCAAATGGTATACACAGACAGCCACCTTCTTTGAGTTTGTCAAGTACATCCTTGATGGTTGTTTTCCCAAGTCCCGGTACACGAGCCTTTAACGCCTTTTTCATTCCTTAATTAAATCAATTTAATATTCAATTTTTATTCATATTTTATCTTTAATTAAGTTAAAAAATTCTACTGAATTTCAACAGTTGCTCTTCTTCAGGAAAAAGGTACAAGCAATTGTGCACAAAGGCCGATTGGTGTGCGATTTAGTAAGCACGTCTTCCTATACGAAGCAGCAAACAGACATTCTGGTAACAAGACTTAAAAATAAATAAAAGACTGCTATAATGTTCAGATGTTGAAGAATAGCTGCAGTTAAAGACAAATGATCCGGCATTACTAGGTGTTTTGTAAACATTTCTTCCGTATTTAATTTTAATTTTCCTGCGTCACCAAAGCAACGTCCCAAGTGTATGTGTTCCGGGTGAACAACTTCCATAAAAACTTTCTTGTTTTGTTTCTTCTGTCAAATCAGCAAGAAATCTAACAAAATGTGTACCTTGAGTGACGTCGTTTGACACAAACGTTACTGCTGGTGGACGATCCCAAGGTTTCGGATTTCCATCGTAAGCTATCGTTTTTGGGTCAATTTCACAGTAGTTGGAACAAGCGCCAGTGCTTCGTTTTGTGCGAGAGAATTGGGTTTCGCTTTCTACCCCCTTTTTCATAGAGATCTTTAACCTCGCGAGTGTGGCCTCCGAGAAACCTGTGAAAAAAATATGAAACATACAAAATCTGATATCAAAGGTTCTGTTTACTTATTCCAAAGTTGTGCAGAATATGAAAAAAGTCCAGGAAATATCATTGTCATTATCTGCATCTTACCTAGAAAAAAGACCAGGATAGCGAGATAACTTCTTAGATTCAAAAACGTGGACATGCTGAACCCAAAATCCACTCACTGCGAAATACAATTTTCAGATGGTTTTATTGAATTTTATAATAATGCAATTGCACTCCATCATGAAATACCGTCAATGTGAAGTGTTGCAATGTTAAATGTTAAAATGTTAAAATCATATTTCTTACCTTTGTTTAAAAGTTTCCTGAGCTTGCAATTTGACTTATTTCCTGTTCGCGACTTGACACAAATAAAGAAGAAGCGTCAGAAGCGTTTTACTGTATACATTTGGTTGTCATGTATATTATATAAATTTGCATTCAGACACCTGCTTCCTAGATACACCGACACCTTCTATTATTAGCATAGTAAAAAAATCTGGATACTGATTGGTTGAGAGGAATACAGCTATTTTGTTGTATACTGCAGTACAGCTTTGAAATGATTTTTTTCAAAATAAACAAAATGGCGGAAGGTTTTTTTGCATACAAATTAAACAAACCTGGAGGAACAAAAAGGACCAGAAAAGTAAACGCAAATACTACCAAAAATACAAAGTTATAAATGAAAGTCTGACAAGACTGTATTTTCACAAGAAACTATCAATGCATGTTTGCTTTGCCTTTGGAAAAATGTGCTCGAATTATTCCTTATTCAATTGTCACGTTCGCGATAAAGCGATACAAAAAGTGTAGGATTTTATTTTTTTTGACAGGACACAACATTTGTTTTACAAGCGTTATAGTGTATACATTTCCTCTGAGTGAATAATTAGGAAGTTTATATTATCATGTAAATTCTATAAATGTGCATTACTGCATTATACCTCATAACCGGGATTATAGGCAACACCTGCTTTCTATTACTAACAATGATTTGTCACGTATGAAAGCCTTAAATTCGGATTAGAATATATTGTTAGCTAAATGATGAAACATGCATGCATCGATTTCTGTAGTTGTTTCAAAATTTCTCAAACTTGAGCAACGAAAGGGAAAAGTCGAAATAATGCAGAATTGTGTATTTTGATTTTATCGGAATTGTTAATACAGACCTTGGATTCGGCCCACTCCAACAAGGGGGAATTTCGTTTTAGACGTTTGAGTTTAGTACTTAGTAAAGTTATGTCTCAGACATAATGAAGGCAGAAAGCCTTGGTTTAGAGCGAATGGATTCAGAGTCAAGACTATTTAATCTGGCTAACGTTTACCAATTATAGCTTAAGTTGATTTCAATCATTTTATGTACAATGTTCCAAGTTCCTTTC